GTCAAGAGGAGCAGAAACTTCTCAAAAGCTACTTCAGTACATGCATATACTGGTTAAAATCAAAACACAGAACAACCATGAAGCCACACTTAAAAGGTGCTGCTAACTTAACTGTTCATTAACCAAAAGTTATTATTAACTTTTAAAAAGCTACCCTATTCCCAAGCATGTAAAGCTGTTGCTCTCCACACCATCAATTCACTGCTCTAGACTATTTACATATACTATCACTGCTATTCACCTTGAAGGTCTCAAGAGTGCCTCACCACACGTACCTACCGAAGATATTCAACAATTCCTGGAGCAGCAGGTAAGTTCTGCAGCTGTAGTCACAAGCTCTAGAATATGAGTTTTCTTAAATTTAAAGGACATGCCCTTGTCTCCCCTCCCAATCCCAGAAACCTTTTCCTACCACTCATAATGGCAAAGTAACCTTTGAAAACATTAACCAATTTTAAATCAATGTTGCATGTTTGCCTGAATTTGCAGAAAGCCTAGAAGAATAGGTCTCATGTTTGCATTTTTCCCCTCATCTCAGTGTGGTATATGGTGCTCTCTGCAATGCAGAAGGAATGTGAATCTCAACACAGAAACCCATTCCTCCCGAGGAACCATCCAGCAGTGTGTGCCACTAATATGTTTATTCCATGATCTCAGCATGACCTGTGTGCTTGCCCTAGAAAGAAGCCTGAAATATGCTGCTTCCTTCTAACACAATCTGGTTTTATCTTCCAAGAACTTTTATGATGCAGCCAGGCGCTGCCAAGTATAAGAGTCTGTGCCATACTTAGAGCGCAAAGACAGTTAAAGTAAAATCATTCTATTAAAATGGCAGGGGGCTATTGTTTGGACTGTATTGTTTGTATGCAATTCAATTAAGCCTCTCTTTCAAGATGTCCATGGGAGAAACATGGTGACCGTGCAAGAAGCTCCAGTGCGCAGCTGTACTCCATGCTGTTGCTCAATTTAGATCCTGCTTGCCACAGAGTCTGTAAGCCCTTGCATACATGCCTCTTCCTCTACATTCCCACCCACACAAATCCAAAACCGGGTCTGACCTTCCCCACTCTGCTTTGTCCATGCATCCCCATGTAGTCCGAACAAATTCCAGCCATCTGTCCTGCCTGTGCTGCTGACTGCTACAATCTGAACCCGGCAGTCCAAGGCAGCCATGCACTCATGCCTATTTCTCAGCCTGCTAGGGTCCCTGGAGCTGCCCACACGTTCCTGAATTGTTTCTTGAACTGTTTGGAGACTTCTGAAAATAAAGCTGCTGTAAAAGGTCTGCAATATGTTCAAATCCTGCCATTAATATTGACACAGCCAGCCACTACAGTCTGATGCACAGTGTGCCTTGAAGGAGTCTATTAGAGCCCTGTTTAATTTACAACCACGTCCCCCATGCTTCACTGGTTAATTTGAAAGTAAAAGCATGTTTCTAGACTAAAGGATAAAGTGTCAGCTATTCCTGTCCTTGGATTCAGGTTAAGTGACACTCCTTGTACGTATAATACATTTCCACACACATGCTACTTTGAGAAAGTGAAACTGTGGGCACAGCAGAGGGACTAAGTAGATAGCACAGTTGCATAAAAGCTACAAGATACCATTGGGTGTGGTAAGAAAATATCTCCAGTCTCTAATGTGGGGGTACAATGTTCAGAGTGCCACATTTCCAAATTCTGGGAGCACACATGCCTTCTCAGCCTAGGCTCCTGGCAGTACAACAGCATGTCAACATCAATGTTCAACCCTTTGTGCTCCTCCTCAAGAAAGGAAGACACCATCAGACCGGCACAACTCTTTTTAAAAGTTTGCCTTTAAAATTCACCATTTCTTACTTTCCTATCCTTTCAACTTTCCATTTTTCCATATATCTTTATCAGAGTCTTGCTCACGGCTTTGACCTGCCTGCTGCCATCTAAAGGGACTTAGGTATATTCACTCAACCACTCATTAGAAACATGGCTAGTTTTAAATCCCAGATTTTGGTAAAGAGGCGATAAGAGCGGTTCTTGATTTTGCATCCTGTTCCACTACCCTCAAGGACTGGTTTATAATTACTGCAACTTTACTTGCTGTCTAGAAATGTTGAGATCAGCCATTTTCAAAGACAAACTTCTCTCCAATTCTTAAACTGGGAAAAAGATCCTTTTTAACGGGAAAAACTCCAAGTGGCCACAAGACAGGATCACATTTCAGAAAGCATGTCCAGCGAAGACAGACTAGTTTTCTTTTCCATTTCAAATGCCACCCTCCTCTGCCTCTTCTCCCCCCGAAGCTGTGGTGGTAAATAAATCCAGGATTTAATTCAAGGGGACTAGCAAGAAGGTCTGTTTTCAGGCACACAATATCACTGGTGGTCTGAGAAGGTCAAGAGGAGCAGAAACTTCTCAAAAGCTACTTCAGTACATGCATATACTGGTTAAAATCAAAACACAGAACAACCATGAAGCCACACTTAAAAGGTGCTGCTAACTTAACTGTTCATTAACCAAAAGTTATTATTAACTTTTAAAAAGCTACCCTATTCCCAAGCATGTAAAGCTGTTGCTCTCCACACCATCAATTCACTGCTCTAGACTATTTACATATACTATCACTGCTATTCACCTTGAAGGTCTCAAGAGTGCCTCACCACACGTACCTACCGAAGATATTCAACAATTCCTGGAGCAGCAGGTAAGTTCTGCAGCTGTAGTCACAAGCTCTAGAATATGAGTTTTCTTAAATTTAAAGGACATGCCCTTGTCTCCCCTCCCAATCCCAGAAACCTTTTCCTACCACTCATAATGGCAAAGTAACCTTTGAAAACATTAACCAATTTTAAATCAATGTTGCATGTTTGCCTGAATTTGCAGAAAGCCTAGAAGAATAGGTCTCATGTTTGCATTATTCCCCTCATCTCAGTGTGGTTTATGGTGCTTTCTGCAATGCAGAAGGAATGTGAATCTCAACACAGAAACCCATTCCTCCCGAGGAACCATCCAGCAGTGTGTGCCACTAGTATGTTTATTCCATGATCTCAGCATGACCTGTGTGCTTGCCCTAGAAAGAAGCCTGAAATATGCTGCTTCCTTCTAACACAATCTGGTTTTATCTTCCAAGAACTTTTATGATGCAGCCAGGCGCTGCCAAGTATAAGAGTCTGTGCCATACTTAGAGCGCAAAGACAGTTAAAGTAAAATCATTCTATTAAAATGGCAGGGGGCTATTGTTTGGACTGTATTGTTTGTATGCAATTCAATTAAGCCTCTCTTTCAAGATGTCCATGGGAGAAACATGGTGACCGTGCAAGAAGCTCCAGTGCGCAGCTGTACTCCATGCTGTTGCTCAATTTAGATCCTGCTTGCCACAGAGTCTGTAAGCCCTTGCATACATGCCTCTTCCTCTACATTCCCACCCACACAAATCCAAAACCGGGTCTGACCTTCCCCACTCTGCTTTGTCCATGCATCCCCATGTAGTCCGAACAAATTCCAGCCATCTGTCCTGCCTGTGCTGCTGACTGCTACAATCTGAACCCGGCAGTCCAAGGCAGCCATGCACTCATGCCTATTTCTCAGCCTGCTAGGGTCCCTGGAGCTGCCCACACGTTCCTGAATTGTTTCTTGAACTGTTTGGAGACTTCTGAAAATAAAGCTGCTGTAAAAGGTCTGCAATACGTTCAAATTCTGCCATTAATATTGACACAGCCAGCCACTACAGTCTGATGCACAGTGTGCCTTGAAGGAGTCTATTAGAGCCCTGTTTAATTTACAACCACGTCCCCCATGCTTCACTGGTTAATTTGAAAGTAAAAGCATGTTTCTAGACTAAAGGATAAAGTGTCAGCTATTCCTGTCCTTGGATTCAGGTTAAGTGACACTCCTTGTATGTATAATACATTTCCACACACATGCTACTTTGAGAAAGTGAAACTGTGGGCACAGCAGAGGGACTAAGTAGATAGCACAGTTGCATAAAAGCTACAAGATACCATTGGGTGTGGTAAGAAAATATCTCCAGTCTCTAATGTGGGGGTACAATGTTCAGAGTGCCACATTTCCAAATTCTGGGAGCACACATGCCTTCTCAGCCTAGGCTCCTGGCAGTACAACAGCATGTCAACATCAATGTTCAACCCTTTGTGCTCCTCCTCAAGAAAGGAAGACACCATCAGACCGGCACAACTCTTTTTAAAAGTTTGCCTTTAAAATTCACCATTTCTTACTTTCCTATCCTTTCAACTTTCCATTTTTCCATATATCTTTATCAGAGTCTTGCTCACGGCTTTGACCTGCCTGCTGCCATCTAAAGGGACTTAGGTATATTCACTCAACCACTCATTAGAAACATGGCTAGTTTTAAATCCCAGATTTTGGTAAAGAGGCGATAAGAGCGGTTGCAATGAGCAATGTATGTTCCTCACAGCCCACAGTATTCAGCCACTGTCAGCCCACAAGATTTGCCCAAAACCCTCTCCACCCAAGGAGCTGTGCTCCAAACAAGATGTGTCCTGAAGAGAATAAACGTCCTGGCCCCCCTCCTTGAAAGGACAGCTTTAAAAAGATAAATCAGATTTAAACTGTCGTTCTTGCAAAGAACTAAAACAATAAGATGAAAGATACTAAATTAATTCTCTGTTTGAGTGTGTCAAACTCTGGTGGTGTGCGTATCAGCATTTCTCCCTCAAGCGTGGTTTCCTCACTCACATACAATGTTATTTTGAGCACTCTCAGTATTGCCCAAATCAGTGAGAAAACCAAACAACAAATCTCCAGCGATGAACGTGGCAAGACGACCCATTACTCCTCAAAAAGCAGGCGATGCCCACTGTAGTAACAACCCTATTTCCCTTGCCATATCAGGTCAACTCTGGTTTGTGTTGCAGTGAAATGCAATGGCAATGCATAACAAGGGCTGAATACAAAACCCCACGGAACACAAGCCAGACCTGCAGTATGGTATGAGAGCCATGCAGATTAGGAAGGGAAGCCATACAAAACGGAAGGACTTACACCAGAGTTCATAGTAGTAGTTGCAACACTGGGATTGTCCACAACAGTGGCCCGTTTCACATATGTAACTTTGATTGTTGACACCCATGCAGGTTTCCTTGTCCTAAAATTAAACAGACACACTTTTAAGATGCTTTGTCAGTATCTTCTGTAAATGTAATCTTTTACTCAACGATCTGCAAGCATTTGAAAAGTCACAAGTTATGGTCTTGGGAAACTCTAAAATACATTAAGAGGTTAAAATACAGCTAAGGATCACCAAAAAACACAAAGGACTGTTCAGAAGAAAACCCCGTATCTCCAAAGTCATGAGTTACATTGCTTTAGCATCTAGTCAGTGCTGCTTTCTCATCATTCCTTTCCTTTTCCATTAGAAGTTATCACATTTTAGGAGCCAGGCATTCTCTTAAAGAAGAGATGTCATTTGTTCCATATTTTACACACTATCGCTGCATTACTGAGGCTGAATGCCAAGTGGAAGAAATGCATTAATAAACAGAACATTATAATTTGAGAAAAGACTGCTTGGATTCATTTAGATCTAAATGATAATTACAGTATGTTCCTGCGAGATTCCAATCTAAAGTGATTCCTTCATAATTAGCCATGTGCTTTATACAAGATCAGCATTCCTGTAAAACTTCTTCCTGGAATAGCGAAGTAGTCCAGGAGCAGAGCCAAATCAGCTGTACCGTATCACCCAGCATGTCCTCAGGACACTTAAGATGGAAAAGGACTACAGTGTGAGGTCTCAGTCCCCCACGTGGTGCACCGCTTCACAAAAGTCCATGTTTTCCTGCTAGTCTGAAAACATGGGTGGGAAAAAGTACAAAACACAGGAAAACAGAAGTATTTTACAAGTTATGGTTTGTACATCCTTTGGTAGGCTTTGGGGCAACCTGGAAGTTAGAATACACTACATAGTTTCTTACGAAACAAACAGATCTTAATAAAAAACATCGGTGTTGCAAACAAACCTGTAACATAGTCTAAAATTGTCACTTTCTTTCACTTAATATTTATGATAAGGCAAAGAAAATGTGCGGAGGTTTATACTGAAAGACATGTTGAAAGAATTCATTTTATAAGTACCACCTTTCCAAAAAAAACCCCAAAACCAAACAAACCAAAACAAACCAAACAAAAAAGCCCAACAAAACCCAAACAGCTAGGAAGAGCAGCAAACCCAACCAGCAGGCTACTGGAATGTACACTGGCGGACCCCAACACCGGCTGAACTGCACTGTTCCTCTATTTTATGTGAGTGCACTACGGCCATGCTTCTCACAAGCATCTATGGAGTCACCATATGCACAAAACACAAAGTCCATTTCAGATTGTGGACCACCTCACTGAACAAGTGATGTAAGGCAGCAGTTTCAATGCAGAAGAGTCCTGCACTAAGTTCGCACGAAGACTCGGTCTATTTGGGGATCTGGGGAAGCACCAGCACTCCCCCACCACGCAGCACCCCAGTCGGAGCCATACCTCCTCAACACTGGGCCCGTGGGTCCCTCACCTGAGCACCCATATTACAGCAACAATACAACTTCTAAAAGCAGAAGAACCTCCTACCACCTAAGGTTCAACAGAAAAGATCCCACGCTGCATTCTCCTCCTAAGAAGTCACACCAACTTTTGAAAGGGTTTTGATCGTCTGAGGGCACAGTTCAGCAAACACGACTCAGCATATGATAGACCACTTCCCCTCCTTCCACAGGTACCATGATTTCCACAAAAGGCTCTAAAAAGCACCAGTGGGCCATCTCCTTAAAATTCATCCGCAGAGGCAACAAGCTGGAGGGGCGCCTGCCTCCTGTTTCCAGGAAGAGAAGAGCATTTTGCTGGACAGACCAGTCAAACTGCTTTACTGCAGGTAGCTAAAGCAAACATTTTATGTTCTTGTCTCGAGATGCTGCATGCCAATAGTAGACACAACATTTTCCTATAGGGTAAGGAGGTGTTTTCCATTTCTAATTGCAGTGGCTAATAGCAACTTTTAGGAGACATTGTTGAGCTAGCAGAGCATTTTCTGCTTCAGGCATGCTATTCATTCCAAAAATTGTAATTTTAGTCAGCAAAAGAACTAGAAACAGGACACATCTATTCCCTTATCTGTTCTCATTAGTTTATTTACACTTTTCCTCATTTTTGTTGGCCTTGCAGAGTTAATGCAACTTACGAACAGCATAGATTTTGGCTCTCACAGCAACAGAATTGAGAAATTAAGATCCCATTGCAAAACTGTAATTCTGTTGATAATGCACAAGCCAGAAAGTGACCGGCTGAGGTCTGTGGTTGTGACACATGAAGATCAATGCGACCTGTTGAACCAGCAAATGAATCACGTGGAGCTGGTGAAAGAACAGAGTCCTATGGTGCCATTTCAGGAACTCCTCTGTATCACAACACTGATCCATCTTTGACCACCTGTGTTTACTCCCCCAAAATTTGTTCCATTCAGTGTTGTCTGCTTCAAAGAGTAGCAATAAGCAACACATCAGTGTCTTTTGGCAGCAGCAACCTATAACAGCTTCAACATCGCTATATTTTTCCCACTTAAGAACTTGCAGCTTTTCAGAGACTTTCATCACGTTATCCTTTTATTTGAACTTCCTGACTCCCTCTTGCCAACCTTATTATATTTGAAGTGACCTTTCCACAATGCCATATGCTTATGTGCAAGGTTGCTTCTTGTTAGCCCAGCTGGCAAACAGATCTATGAGGGGATGGGTGTACATGTTGAACAGAAGATCCTCAGCAGCTAGGCTGGTATTCTGCAGGTTGTTCCTGTCTGCTTTTGGAGATCAAGTCTCAAGCAACATCCTGCTTTCCCATCTAAAGTAGAATTCAAATCTCACTGTCCGGAGCTTCTTTACACACTGACCAAGAGAAATCATCTTCTGTGCTAATGTGTAAGTGCTTGTACCTTTGAATAGTGTCTCAGTTAGCTTTCAGCTCCCACAGTTCAGAAAGTCCAGGGTTTCAAAGTCCTTGCAGTGCCAGTCACCAGCCATGCTCCTCAAAGTCCACGCAGCTCCTCTTGGAGCCTTTCTGCAGCCCTCTGCCAGCCCGGCCACCGATGGGTTTCTGGGAACATGAAGCAGTCAGACTCGGTGCCACGTGTCAGACCCAGAACTGTCACCCTTGTTTCCAAACAGTTTCATAGAATCAAGGAATAATTTAGTTTGGAAGGGATCCCAGCAGGTCACGTGGCCCGACCCCTGCTCAGAGCACAGCTACCTCCAACGCTAGGTTACTCAACCTAGCACAGGGAAAGAGATAAAATGTAAAGGCAACAAATCTTCGGAAAAAGTCTACAAGGCAAAGATTCCAGCACAAGGAGAGCATTGTTTTGGGATATGTTACAGGTGTCTCCTTTGGATTGAGCGTTTCAGTCTCTTTTCCTCTCTCCACTTAAGTCAAGACTCATTTCTGTGAAAAGCTGAGCCACTGTATGGTTTCTTGCACTGCTCTGCAAGCCAAGGAAGAGGTTATGCACTGCCATCAGTACAGGCCATGACAGACTGTGACATTTTTTTGTTAGGAATCTTCTGCCTACCACCAAGCACTTTGATCAGGCTTCAATTTCTAATTAAATCCCAGCCTGCACTTTTCACACCATCAGTGTTGTGTTACTTCTACTTCCTTCTCCCATTCATTCTTTGTGTCATATGCTGCCAAATGGTAACTACTTAAGACATATCAGCAATAGTTATCTATAGCCTAAATGTCTCCAGGAAACAATATCACAAGTGCTTGTGCTATGAAAGCACACTACTTCCTCTTTCACACCAACAGGCATGGACAAGGCACAAGACTGAAAGAGTAGTTTTATAAGTAAGAAAAGTATATATGGGGGGGGAAAAAAAAAAATCTCATAGAAGCAAAGTTGGAGCACTCACATTTTATTGACCTGCCTTTGTTTCTAGTTTCCATTTCAAGTAGTGCTTGTAATGATCATTTTTAATGATCATCAGCATGGAGTTTTCATCAAACTACTACAAAGAGGTTTTGTTGGGTTTTTTTAGGTAGTCTTATGAAAACAAGGAAGGGGGAGGGCTTCTTTCCGAAAGCACTTTCTTCCCCAATAGCCAGTGGCTATCACATTCCAGCGCAGGCTTCCCTGCTGAAGGACAGTCTTGTTTTCTTGTTGTCCAGGCAAGCACATCCCTCCCCACCAGCCTTTGTTCGGCTAACTGCAGACACCTCCAGACAGGATTACTAAGCAGCATCTACACGGGTCTGCTCTTTCGTTCACCTCCATTAGAGCAGAATATTCCTGTTTTGCAACTAAGAAGCCTGAACATGCCATCCGTTATCTCCCACCTGCAAAGCCTAGGAGATTTCCAACTAATTTCAAGGGATTGGCTTTGTCCTGTAAAGCAGCATGTACTCTAGGCTGCATGTGCATCACTGCCTCCTTGGCATCATCCTAAGAGCTGACGCAGATCTGAGGAACTGGACTCACTGGATCCCTGACGCACACTCTAAAGCCAGGAGCTTTCAGGAGAAGGCTCTGCAGTCCTGGAGCCTGTGTTCTCTCCCCATCCAGTCCAACAGAGGCCATTTAATAAATCTCGTGCAGGCTCTTTCTCATGAAACCAGTTGAGTTGGGAAGACCTCATCTTGGTGCATTTGGAGAGTCTCTTAATATTTCAGATGTGGAGTTTTGGATTAGTTTTCACTTGTCATAAACTTTATAAAGCAACTTGTTTAATAAAAATACCATTTAATAAATCTCGTGCAGGCTCTTTCTCATGAAACCAGTTGAGTTGGGAAGACCTCATCTTGGTGCATTTGGAGAGTCTCTTAATATTTCAGATGTGGAGTTTTGGATTAGTTTTCACTTGTCATAAACTTTATAAAGCAACTTGTTTGAATAAAAATAAGATTTTTTTTTTTTTTTAACTTATTTTCTTGTTGATATTTGGCATTTATGATAAACCCACAACCATGCTGGCAACTCTGCCAGTAGCACACTTTTGCTGTCAACTGCTTTTACAAATAATCCTTAAAATATCCAGCAGTGGTAGGTATAAGAGAACTCAAGGCAGTGCCATATGTTGTCACATCTGAAGCTACAGCAAACGTTAACATCAGTGCCAGGGAAAAGAGCCAATTATTTTCTCCACCTTCCAGTTTAGTATTGGACCTTTGCTGGAGGTCTACGTGACAAATTAAAGGTCAAAATCTGGGGCATGATCAAGACAGGAGGTATTCATGGAGGTCTGCAGGTTGCCTGAATTGCCCCTTGCTGCAAGAAAGGATGGAATCAGACCTCCTTATCCTACTTTTGTAAAGGTTTTCAGTACTAAATGGTTGGGTTTAATGCCCATAAATCTGTTAGGATTTATTGCACCTGAAGCCGATGTAGGAAATGGAGGGAAATGAGAACTGATTGACAGTGGAGTATCATTCCAATCAAGGCACTTCACACTTTTCTACTCCTGAAAGTCAGCAGTCAACCTGGGAACATCGTTGCTATGTCAAAAAGGAGAAAGATGAAGATGAGCAAATTCCAGACCAGTGTGGCTATTTTCCAAGCTGAAAATTAGTATGTGCAACTGCAGCAACAAATACCACAGCCCACACTCAAAAGCGCATAGTTGGCAGTGAACCACCTACAAAGGATGACTCCTCAGCTGGCCTTAACCAGGTAACCAAAACCGGCAGTGGCTGATATCACGGAGATCTAATAACCATTTTAGCTTTTTGCTCTGTCTCCTCTTCCACAGAAATCCAGCCTCCGTTACCCTAAATATGAGCACCTTGCATTTATATGGCCTCTATGTGTCATTCAGCCTACCAGAGTATTCATCCTAACCTTGGTAACACCCAGACACCCTGGAAAACACTTTGAAATGTGACTTCCATTTACTGGCAGCAGGTTATATGCCATTCCTCTCTTCTAGGATAGCCAGTTTTTTAAACCTACTCTAATTTCCTATTCTCTCCAAACTTCAGTACAGCATTTGTCAAGGCACTACATAGCAAATTACTATTTGAACTGGAAGAGATGGGGATTAATAACAGAATGACAGGGGTGAGCAAGGAGCTGAATAACAGGCGTACAAACAGTGGGACACAGTGAAAAGCCCAGCAGCAGGCTGAAGGGAGACTGCCAAGCTGGCATCCGCCGGAGGGCAAGTTGCTACTGGTTTTAGCAGGACTCGGGCTCAACCTGTGACCGCTCCAGACCTTCTGGTTTCACAGCTCTCATAGGGGACTTTGGTAATAAGCATCTATTTAATAATAATAATAAAAAAAAATCCTGACCTAGTTATTTCACTAATCTCATTACTCGCAGGCAACAGTCCCTTGCTTTCAGTACCCAGCCGCACCCATAACAACAAAGCAGGATGGATTCAAGCAAGTCACAGAGTCTTCAGAAAAATGTATTAAAAAAATATGTATTTTGAGTAACTCGCAATCAGTATTTGAATGATATATATTCTTTAAGCACCCAGAGTAACAGAATGGAAGTGACTGTCAGTACCTTAAATATGTTAGAAACAACCAACAGGAAAAACTGCATTCGATACCCACTATTTATGAGTTACCACTTGGCTTTTACTCAAACTCACATATCAGACTATCACTAGTGTTGGCTAGCCAAGCCCATCAGCAATAGCTCATGAGAATGCAAACACAAAGCTACCAAAGAAGATGAGCATCTCTGAGATAAGAGACTCAAGTGGTAGCAGGTTGACATTGCTACTGAAAGTATTAGGCTGGAATGTCGAATCTTGCCATAGGGTTCGCCTACAATTCCTGGTTTGCCAGCTGCCCCCACAGTTCCTAACCAAAATTCATCTTAAATAAAGTATCACTAGATCCTTTCAGAGAAGGACAGCAGGTGGGATCGCAGCAAGGACAGGCAGAACCGCAGGGGAACCCTGAATCACCAGTGCAGCTCAGGACTGACACCCACCCCGAAGCCTCCGGTCCTTCTCCCATCTTCATAAACACTATACTTGTTAGTCCTTTGGAACATAAAAGCAAAAATCCACCATTTAAGCAAGTGCCATACCTTTGTTGGATTCAATTTAACAAAAGCATATAAGATTGGTAAAGATGAAACCAGCTTTGATTGCTGTGAGTTACTGGAACCTCGGGTGCCAGCCTCTGCCAGCACGACAGGGGATAAATTCCTGTAAGCCTGCCTTACGACAGACAACTGAGGCCAGGAAATAAATCAAGTCTGGACATTTCTTCATAAGACACTCACCACAAATACTGTTTTGCTGAATGTGGAAAAAAAAAATGTGTTAAGTGCAAACATCCAAAAACTTAAAGTGTAATAAGTGGGGGAGGAATGACGCCTCTGAGCTGTCCCAGGCACAATAAAGATCTCCAAAATGGGAATTCTAATCCACAACGTTTATTGCTTCGCTAATGCCAGCATGAGGAGAATTATATTTAAATCACCATGATTAATCAGCCACAGCAGATCCATCTTCACCTCCAGCAGATGCAGAACCTCTGAGGTTTTATTAACCTTTATCTGAGGAACAAATTGGTTTGTTGCATCCATTTATCTTGGAGAAATACTCCAACAATCTTTAAAGGAACACTGTCCTTTCACAGATCGTGGACACTTTGATATATTTCAATAAGAGCTGGTTTCATTTTTGTTTATCGCAAGTTTCACTTTCAGACTCCAAGAACTGCACATTCGCATTTTAAGCGCCACATGAAAGTGTTTACTTCCTTCACGCCTTGCTAGAAGCTTCCCAGCTGTAGTCACAGCCCTTTCACATTAAAGATAGATGCTTCTAGGAAATTACAGCTTTGAGGAGACTGTCTTGCATTTTGTTGTTTTAAACCACCAAACAGTTGACAACACAGAAACCTTAAGCAGTTAAAATTAAAACTGAAAAGGTTAGGAATCCAACATTTTAACATTTTTTTTTTCCTTTTACATTTATGCAGTGAACTAGACGAACGTGTTCAAGCTTCCACCTGCAACCCTAAGAGGAAATGCTCACTTAAAACTGAAAGCTGAGATCCTCTACAACCATGTTTTCTGGGACGGGAGCTTTAAACACCCACGTTGCACCGATGTCAGATAGAGCTGACCTAGCTTTTCAGGCATTTAAACATCATCCCCGCTGCAACGACAACAAAAACCCCCAAACCAAACACCCTATTTTTACCATGTGTTCGGCAGTCCATCTGCTGTGCTGCAATTGCCACTGGGTCCCAAAGAAGTGAAGACAGATCCAGGGGAACTAGTTGTTCAGTGCGGTGCAGCAGTGAGCAAGGGGTGCCTGTCCCGGGGAGCCCAGGCTCCCACTGTGACTGTTTCGTCCTCGTCACGCAGCTCACGGCAGGGCACCCCAGGATCAGCACCCCTTGTGTTGAGTGGGAACAACAACAAAGGACATCCCAGACAACCAAGTGTTTACAGTCCAAGTGCAAACGCAAGAGACAATAGAGGCGGATGCGTGACGAGATGTTCCTGAATTCCTCCCACACTTTTAATTAAATAGCACTGTTCACTAACAACCCTTTTTTTCTGCTCTTTTAGAAGTGGAAAAAGAAGTTTCTGAATACTATCTGCATGCAGGACACAATCACAAATATTTAATTTTTTTTAAGTCTAAAAATGATTAAAACTCAAAATGATTAAAACTAAGAAAAGTTCGAGCAGCTCCACAAGCAGCTCTTTCCCACTACATCTCTCATCAGCGGATAAAAATAGTCAAGAGCTTTGCTCTTGTGTTCCTGAGGCAACACCTTTTTTCTGCTTCCTGTATCGATGCAGAAAAGTTACAAGCAGAGAAAAAAGTACCATCCAGCCCACTCAGATAACCAGATGTTCGCAGTTTGAGCAAAGGAAGCTGAATTACACCTAATTTCTGGTTTTACACCTTATGCAGCACCTCAATTGTCCAAAACACGTCTCTAAAACAAAAAGATTAATTTAGAAATAGAACTTTAGAGAAAAACCACACTGTGAGACTCGAGCAATCTCAACATTTAAGCCAGCTATGTCTCACTGCAAGTTTAGAGTTACCTAAAGCCATTTAGCCTTCGTGCCCGAATTTCCCCCCTTGACTCAGTTCCGAGGTTTTTCGGGAAAGTCTCTTTGCCCTGAGTGCTAACAAGTGAACTATTATTATAGCTATTGCATTCAATTACAGAAGGTCATTGTGCTAGAGGTAGTTTCTTATGTAAAACTGTTTCCAGTTCAGCAGGGTGGGAGGGAGGGAGGGAGCAAGCTGCATTTCACCAAAAACTGAAGCGATAAGGAAAAAGAGACAGCACTGTTTACTCAGCAGTGTGCTGCAAGTCCTTTTGCCTTCATTTCTAAACAACTGAAAGTAGGTAGTTTAAAACACGCTACGGTCCAATCTTGAATTTTTAATTCTAAATTAGAAACTGCAAGCAGCACTCTGATATCATGCAATATCTATTTATTGTGGATTACAGATCTCAGCAGTGCTGGGAAGAGTTTACAGTTAGATCCCCCTCCAGACATGCCTCCCAGACCAAAAAAAGGGTTTGCTCTCCCTGAGCCTAGGAACACATAGTTGGCACCTCCTCCAGCGGGGAGCAGCTGGGCAGTTGCTACCGTTTCTCATTCCACTCGACATTACCAGCTATTAAATTATCCCAAGTTTCTTGTTCAAGCTCAAACTCTCCCAGAACAATTAAAAAGTCACCAAGCTGGGGGTCACGGAACATTGCCATTTTCTGTTT